TTACCCCTCAAGGAGATTTCAAATGGATTATTGGTCAACATAAGAATTGTTCCTCATTCTCTTAGCTTTCTAGAATGGTATAGTATGCCTTCATATGATGTGTGGAACTCAACTTATGGTCTTGGCAAGCAAAGGGTATTTTGGGCATTTGTGAATTACAGGTCATTTTAACCTATGTCCAAAACTCATACAAGGAGGCCTCAAATGGAAAAACTTACAACATCAAACTTGTTCAAAATGTGATTTTGAGTCTAGAAAGAAGGTCACAAATTGTTGGAAAAGCTCATAACATGAAGTTGCATGATTGGTCCAAATTTGAACTAAAATGGCTTATAATTTGAATAAAGTCAAAGTGGAAAATGGTTTGGGAGATTTATAAGTCCAAATGGAGACTTACAATATATGATTTTGAATGGAAAAGACATTCTAAAGACAATGGTTCAAGCACTTTTTTGAGTTTAGTGGAAGATTTCAAAGTTATCCTTGGTTACTTGCATTTTAAGAAACATAGCCAAAATGAATCAAAGTTGGAAGGCAAGGGAATGTGTAAGAGGGATCTAGAAGTTACCATTGAACACTATATATTCATGAAATGAGAATTGAGCAAGGGTTGGATTCATTTTTCACCAAGAATTTCCCAAATTCTCTCATTCTTTCTCATTGCATTTTCACTTCAATTCCTCAAATTCTTCACCAATCATCATCAAAATCAACTTCATTATACTGATTCATCATCATAGATCAGAATTCAACCAAGAACCAGGTGTGATCAATCCATTTTCGAGCACTATAATCATCAACATCAAAATTGCAAATTCAGTTGGAACTCAAGATCCAGTGCAAGACTCCTCAAGGTGTTGCATACAGAAGCAAGTAGAGCAATTGTAGATCAGGATCCAAGCCTCAAAAGCCTCAGATCCACGAGTTCCATCATCATCCACAAGATTCCACACCAGGTGCATTTTCTCTGCCACAGCTTGATTCAGTTAGTTTAGCATAGATTTGTTAGTTTAGATATGATGTAGGATGTTAGTAGAGCAATTAGGATGAGTTTGGAGTAGTTTAGTGATGATTGTTAGCAGGTGTACCAAACTGTTAGGACCTAGAACTCTTAGGTTAGGCCATTATAATCTTAGTTTGATAGATCAGAATAATCACCATTAGTCATAGATTAGATTAGTATAAGTTTGATTGAGGATTGTGCTGATGAGTTGCAGAGTATTTCCATGGTGACCAGAATTGTTGCGCTCGGGTTGAGTGGTTTGTTGAGTTTCAAAGCAATCCAAGACCATAGACGTGTAGAGGGAGAAATTTAGAGTAAGTTTCATGTTTATATCGTGGCGTTTCATGGCCTGGAGAGAGAGAACTGAGAGCTTGAAGTTGGCTCGTGCATGGCTTCCATGGAATGTAAACCCTAGCTTTATGAACCAAGGAAGAAGATGAAATCCTGGGCGTTCATTTCATGTTGGACTTTTGACTCAGAGAGCGATCGAAGGGCTCTCATTTAATTCTGAATTTAGAGGGAAGAGTGGTGCCCTAAACGCACCGTTTCATTAATTGAAACGGGCGGGCCTGAGTGCTGAGTGATATCCCCACCCCCCAATTTTAAGCCCAATTCATTTTACGCGTGAATCCTATGCTATTTTCACCCCCTGCGTGTTTTTATTTTTTTTAATAATTCTGAAATGGTTCTGGGCCTTAACCAATTTGCTACGCGCACCCCACCACTGCTTGGCCCATCCAGAATATAACTAGAGCGCCTGCTACTCTTACCCCCCTCCCTCTCATTTTAATTTCAATTGTTTTTTAATTCCACTTTAATTTTACCAACTTTTAAAAATTTATAATAAATAGATAAAAAATCATTTTTAATCCATTCTTTTTACATCATCTTCATTAGAATGTGTAGAAAATTTTCATTAAATAAAATTGCATTTTTATTTTCATTTGATATTTTTTCCATATTTTCTAAATAAATGACATTTTAAATGGTTCATTTCATGCATGATTTTATTAATTTTTGTTCTACTAAATGCTTTCATATTTTTTGTTCATTCTTTTTTTGTTGCTTAGATGAGATATTGAACTTGTAGAAACAAGTTAGTTCCCATTTTTAGGAATTATTTTTAGGTGCTTAAGGTAGGCTTGAACAACATGAACAAATTAGGGTTTTTAGGTGATGACTTAGGAAGTTTGATTCTTTCCCTTAGGACTTAGGATTTAACTAGATTAGTTATGGGACTATAGGGGCTATGGGTAGTTATTAGATCCCTTAGAAAAAGTCAGGATTCCCCTACTGCTATTAATATACTGTATATCTGATTGACTGGTGTGGTGTGCCCTCTAGGGATTATTGCTTGTTTGCTTGGGTATTGGGATTGTCTGGGGACTTGGGAGAGTTGAAGGCTTGAGGAGATGAAGCCATTGGAGATCCAGAGATTGTAGATCAACTGCCAGAGTTGGAGAGGAGGTTCTTGCTAGCAGCTGTTGAGGAGACTAGGGTTTAGGAGCTAGGCAGAGCTCTAGGTTAGAAAGTTTGTTTCTCAAACATGGATTGCCTTGTCTGCATCCATTCTTCTCTGTGATGCAGAGTCTCTCTAAGACACTCACCCCCTTCCTTTGGAAGGCTTGATGATAGGGTCTATGAGATAGAACTCTTGAGAGAAAATGTCTCTTGTGTTAGAAGCAGTCTGTTCACCACCCTTGGTAGTCAACTGATTGCTTAACACCCAATTCACTCTTGTGACTAATCCCTCATCCTGGAGGTTTGAACTTGAAGAAAAGCCATTGCAGATGGAAGAATGATGATCAAAGCCCTTGCCTAAAGGTCATGAAGATGGAGACTGATGCTTGTTGAAGCTTGTAAATGATTGGAGATTACTTGAAGCCAGGTGTTGATGCAGAGCTGCTGTGGCTGTTTCTTTTTGCTGTTGTATTTCATTTGCTGATGTATTGATTGGTTTTCTGGACTGTATTGTTTGCTGTTTACCCTGTTAGGTTGAAAGTGAAGCCTGTTCACTTTTGCCTATTGTTTTCTAGGTTCGAGGTTGAGTGGGACTCCCTTGCCTCGCTTGTACTGTTGCATCCATGCATTTTACTGCTTTACTGTATTATATCTGTTATTGTTTCTGTTTCTGCCTATCCCGTAGGATCTCTGTTTCTCTCTGTGCAAGAGAGGAGCATGATAGACACTAGGTCTTAACCCATGCATGATAACATTAGGTTAGTTTGATTCCCCCCGCAACCGTAGGTTAGAGTTCTGTCTCTTTCTATCTCAAAACAAACAGAAAAACACAATAAGATTTCAAACACAATAAAAGACACTTCTTTCGTAAAAGAACGTGAACTCATCAAGACGTCATTTTTGTCCGCCGGGACTGTTAATCAAGAACCCCTTTTTCATAAGGAATAAAATCAATCAAGACAAGCTTGTGTCGTACGTGGCCCGAACTACGTTTGCTCTGATCTTTCATGCCGTGTGAAAGTACGTAGGCATAGGATGCGATGTCCTAGCGAGCAACCTTCCCCTCCTTTCCCGTAGGTAGGCGAACTACGTTGACTCTGATTTCTCGTTCCAGACGGGAATACGTAGGCATAAAGTGCGATACTTTGCCGAGTCATTTTATTTTCATTTTATTTTCTTTTAACCCTTGACCTTTAGCGTAGATAGAATAACAATCCATACCCGAAAACAAGCGTGGATCCCGTCGAGTACGACGGACGTGAGGGGTGCTAATACCTTCCCCTTGCGTAACCGACTCCCGAACCCAGGTCTTGGTTGCGACGACCATACCTTTCCCGTGTTGTGCGAGGTTTACTCTGAGCGTTTCCTTTCCCTCCCGTGGGATAAATAACGCACGGTGGCGACTCTTCTGTTCAGCCGGCGCCGATTTTCGCAGTAGCGACAACATGGTGATTTCAACATGAAAATAGCACCCAGAATCTATTCTGTTGGGTCAAAGTGAAGGGCAGGAATTCTCTTCGGTAATCATCTCGTAGCTTCACTAACTCAAATCAAATCTTGGTGGATCGAGGATTGTGCTGACACACCAAATACGTTCAGCTAGCTTACAATGTGACGAGGAAAAATTCTGGTGACGAAATGGCTGCTCTCAACAAGTTCTTGTGACGAGTCTTACGTAAGTGTCATCCTATGCCTTTCTTTCTCTCTTTATGAACCTTTTGTTGTCACTATACCATAGTTCTGAACCGTCCTTCTTTTGTGGACTTGGTTCTGCACAAAAATCATGTACATCTTTATTGTATTACATTACAGAAATAACATTCTCCATTATTCCTGGCTTCCAGGTGCATCGGAGAAGCCCAGTGGAAATAGCCGAAGTTACATTTGGAGCTTATTGAAGGGTTTGAGCAAACCGAACACCATTTTTATTTATGCAGAAGTCAAAGTGGCTCATGTTCTCCATTTGTGGGACAACTTCAACATACTGTGTGATAGATTTGTTTGCAGCAAGCTCAACTACATTTCCAATGTTAACCTAAACAGGATTAACAAGAAGATCGCCAGCAATTTTTCTCACTTCTTTAGGCCAGGTTGCAGTGTACATGAGAGTTTGTCTACGTGGTGGAATCTCATTCACAATCTTACGGATTTGAGGCTCAAAACCCATATCAAGCATTTGGTCTGCCTCATCAAGCACAAGGAGTGAAACTTTCCTAAAGTCAATTTTTTTCATATCAAGTATATCATTGAGCCTACCAGGTGTGGCAACAACAATGTCTGCCCCCCGATCTAACTCTTTTAGCTGAAGAGCTTTAGGTGCCCGATCATACAAGCATGCTCTGAGGAGTGAATTGAGGTTCTTGTGGTTTCACAATATGTGTACCATGATCCTGAGGATTCCCTTGCCCAAATTGTTGTGGACGAATCACCTGCGGAGGCATCTGATGATGTATTTGCTGAAATTGTTGCCCTTGAAACTGCATCATTTGCTGCCCTTGAGGCTGCATCATCTGGGTCTAGCTTGGTGTAACCCAGGCTACTGTGTCGGCTGCTGCTGCACAGGTTGAGCAGCTTGAGAAGGCTGCTGCTGAGTAGCCTGCGCCACATGAGGACTCTGTTGCTGTTGGGCAAAATGGTTTCCCTGCTGTTGTTGTGAGGGCGGCTGCACTTGCATCATCTGTTGCTGCCCCGACCCACTCGGTATAGGTGCCAAACCAGGCGTAGAAGCAGCAGGCACAGGTGGGGCGTCGGGCTTATCATATTGAGTAACATTAGTTTCAGGATTCCAATAGTACAAAGTACCAGTACCTCCATCAATCAACCCCAACCACGGTTTCGGATGGATGGGATCATCTGGTGCATATCGAGGACCAAGCGTAGCAGAAGTTGTCTCTGTTGTTGCCATTACTTTTATGCACACACTACTGTTTCATAAATTTGTAACTTCTGCACTATATAAGATAATTTTCCTTGCATTCCTTGTATGAGTTATGAAGGGAACCTCATGCTTCATTAGGTGTCTTGACAAATCTTGCGTAAGTCTCGGTAATTGGTGCAACAAAATATCACTTTTAATTTTCTAAGAGTTTGGTTGGTCAACCTTCTTTCTAATTCCTTAATCAATACAGTATAATAGTTTAGAAGTAAATTTGGAGCTGACTGGGATTTCAATACCTGACCTTTGTAACTTTAATCCTTAATGAATCATAGATTTTCCTTTTTAATAACCCATTGATCATATGTGGTAATGAAAAAGTAAGTCGTTGCTGTTGTATCTTCGACGTCTGTCATGACTTTTAGAAAGATCCATGTATTGCTTGATAGTAAATCCCAAAACACGGCTTCTCATTATTTGACAAAAACTCCAGAACACGGTTCAAAAGTCAACTCAACATGTAATAAAAATCTTGCAAAATGGTCCCCGTCTGGACATGTCATTTAGTAATAAACCCATTTGCTTCACAAAAGAAATGTTTCTCCTTGTAATCTAAAGCAACTTTCCATGTCTGAAATCTCTCGACCAAATTTTGAATGCAAGAATATGGGTTCATCTTTCCTTTATCATAGCTTGCATCGTTATGAACTGATGCATTATACCATAAGCCTTTGAAATGAATCGAAACATCTTCTAGGCTAATTGCATCCAAATTCAAGTATGACTCGAAACTTACAAATTAAATCTAAGTTTGTCACAAATTGATTTAAAATTCAAACATAGCTTGACACTCGTAATCAATTCAAGCAAGGCTTGAAGCTAAATCGACCGTATCTAGCAGCATCATGTGAAATATCTTTGAACGACTTGAATTAGGTGCATATCATAACAAACAACTTGTAATGAGGCTCAAACGACCTTTAGAGAAGTTTGTAATCCAGTTGAAATAGGGTTCAAATTTTTTGAAAACCAACAATCATGCATTTTATGCCATCGTCCATATATATATATCTGATCGTGATAACGAGGACACATATAAATTTGGATATAAAAGCTGGGGGCACATTCTTCATCATAAATTGCTGGGGATTACAACCACAATGTGTACACACATGGTCTTTTTGAACGAAGTCTCAGATAGTCATAGCCAGAAGTCGTGAAACAGTCAAATCTCCATTAAATACCGAAGTAGGACAAATTTGGGGTATGACATTAACCAAGCGAAGGTGTTAACACAAGGAAACGAGTGTTACACATAGCGAATGTGTTAACCCAAGGAAACAAGTTTTAACCAAGCGAAGGTGTTAACTCCAAGAAATAGGTGTTGAACAAAGCGACGTTGTTAAGCCAAGAAAACGGGTGTTGAACCAAGCGAATATGTTAACCCAAGGATATGGGGGTTGAACCAAGCCAAGGTGTTAACCCAAGGAAATTAGTGTTAAACCAAGAGTAGGTGTTAACCCAAGGAGACGGGTGTTGAACCAAGCAAAGGTGTTAACCCCAGGAAGCAGGTGTTAAACAAAGTTGTTAAGCCAAGAAAATGGGTGTTAAAACAAGCGAATGTTTAACCCAAGGAAACTGGTGTTGATCAAGGCCAAGGTGTTAGCCCAAGGAAACAAAAGTTGAATCATCCGAAGGTGTTAACCCAAGGAAACAGGTGTTGAACCAAGCGAAGGTGTTAACCCCAGAAAACATGTGTTGAACCAAGCGAAGATGTTAACCAAAGGAGACAAGTGTTTAACCAAGTGAAGGTGTTAACCCAAGGAAACAAGTGTTGAAACAAGCGAAGGTGTTAACCCAATGAGACAAGTGTTTAACCAAGTGCAGGTTTTCACCCAAGGAAACGGGTATTAAACAAAGCGAATGTGTTAATCCAAGGAAAGAGATGTTGAGCCATGAGAAGGCTTTAACCCAACGAGACGTGTGTTGAACTAAGCGAAGATGTTAACCCAAGCAGATGGGTGTCGAACCAAACGAATTTGTTAACCTAAAGAAACTGGTGTTGAACCGAAATAAGGTTTTAACCTTGAGACGAGTGTTGAACCATGCGATGGTGTTAACCCAAGGAAATAGGTGTTTAACCAAGCGAAGGTATTAACCCAAGGGTCCAGGTGTTGAACCAAGCGAAGGTGTTCTCTTAAGGAGATGAGTGTTGAACCAAGTGAAGGTGTTAACCCAAGGAGACGAGTATTTAACCAAGTGAAGGTGTTAACCCAAGGAAACGAGTGTTAAACAAAGCGAGTGTGTTAACCAAGGAAACATGTTTGAACCAACCGAAGGTGTTAACTCCAGGAAATAGGTGTTGAACAAAGTGAAGTTGTTAAGCCAAGGAAACGGGTGTTGAACCAAGCGAATGTGTTAACCCAAGGATATGGGGGTTTAACAAAGCCAAGGTGTTAACCCAAGGAAATTAGTGTTGAACCAAAAGTAGGTGTTAACCCAAGGAGACGGGTGTTGAACCAAGCAAAGGTGTTAACCCCAGGAAACAGGTGTTAAACAAAGTTGTTAAGCCTAGAAAATGGGTGTTGAAACAATGGAATGTTTAACCCAAGGAAACTGGTGTTGATCAAGGCCAAGGTGTTACCCCAAGGAAACAAAAATTGAACCAAGTGAAGGTGTTAACCCAAAGAAACAGGTGTTGAACCAAGCGAAGGTCTTAACCCCAGGAAATATGTGTTGAATCAAGCGAAGGTGTTAACCAAACGAGACAAGTGTTTAACCAAGTGAAGGTGTTAACCCAAGGAAACAGGTCTTGAAACAAGCGAAGGTGTTAACCCAACGAGACGAGTGTTTAACCAAGTGCAGGTTTCACCCAAGGAAACGGGTGTTAAACCATGCGAATGTGTTAATCCAAGGAAACAGATGTTGAACCATGAGAAGGCTTTGACACAAGGAGACGTGTGTTGAACCAAGCAAAGATGTTAACCCAAGAAGACGGGTGTCAAACCAAACGAAGGTGTTAACCTAAAGACACTGGTGTTAAACCAAGTTATGGTGTTAACCTTGAGACGAGTGTTGAACCAAGCGATGGTGTTAACCCAAGGAAACAGGTGTTGAACAAGGTGAAGGTGTTAGCCCAAGGAAATGGAAGTTTAACCAAGCGAAGGTGTTAACCCAAGGAAACAGTTGCTGACCCAAGGAAGGATGTTAAGCCAAGGAAATAATTGTTGGACCAAGCGAAGGTGTTAATCTAAATAAACGGGTGTTGTACCAAGCTAAGGTTTTAAGCCAAGGAGACGGGTGTTGAACCAAGGGAAGTTAACCATCAAGGAAATGGGCATTGAACCAAGAGTAGGTGTTAACCCAAAGAAGTTAGTGTTGAACAAAGAGTAGGTGTTAACCCAAGGAGACGGGTGTTGAACAAAGCGAAGGTGTTAACCCCAGGAAACAAGTGTTGAACAAAGTTGTTAAGCCAAGAAAATGGGTGTTGAAACAAGTAAAAGATTAACCCAAGAAACTGGTGTTGATCAACGCGAAGGTGATGGCCCAAGGAGACAGAAATTAAACCAAGCGAAGGTGTTAACCCAAGGAAACAGGTGTTGAACCAAGAGAAAGTATTAACCCAAGGAAACTTTTGTTGAACCAAGCGAAGATGTTAACCCCAGGAAACATGTGTTAAACCAAGCGAAGGTGTTAACCAAAGGAGACAAGTGTTGAACCAAGTGAAGGTGTTAACCCAAGGAAACAGGTGTTGAAACAAGCGAAGGTGTTAACCCAACGAGACGAGTGTTAATCCAAGTGCAGGGTTTCACCCAAGGAAACGGGTGTTAAACCAAGCGAATGTGTTAATCCAAGGAAACAAATGTTGAACCATAAGAAGTCTTTGACCCAAGGAGACGTGTGTTGAACCAAGCGAAGATGTTAACCCAAGGAGATAGGTGTCGAACCAAATGAAGGTGTTAACTTAAAGAGACTGGTGTTGAACCAAGTTAAGGTGTTAACCTTGAGACGAGTTTTGAACAAAGCGATGGTGTTAACCAGAGGAAACAAGTGTTTTACCAAGCGAAGGTATTAATCCAAGGGAACAGGTGTTGAACCAAGCGAAGATGTTCTCTGAAGGAGACAGAAGTAAAATCAAGCGAAGGTGTTAACCCAAGGAAACAGGTCTTGAACAAAGCGAAGTTGTTAGCCCAAGGAAACGAAAGTCAAATCAAGCAAAGGTGTTAACCCAAGGAAACCGTTTCTGACCCAAGCATAGGTGTTAAGCTAAGGAAACATTTGTTGAACCAAGCAAAGGTGTTAGTCTAAATAAACAGGTTTTGTACCAAGCTAAGGTTTTAAGCCAAGGAGACAGGTGTCGAACCAAGGGAAGGTATTAACTCAAGGAAATGGGCGTTGAACCAAGAGTAGGTGTTAACCCAAGGAAATTAGTGTTGAACCAATAGTAGGTGTTAACCTAAGGAGACGAATGTTGAACCAAGCGAAGGTATTAACCCCAGGAAATAGGTGTTGAACAAAGTTGTTAATCCAAGAAAACGGGTGTTGAAACCAGCGGATGTTTAACCTAAGGAAACTGGTGTTGATCAAGGCGAAGGTGTTAGCCCAAGGAATCAAAACTTGAATCAATCGAATGTGTTAACCCAAGGAAACATGTGTTGAACATGGCGAATGTATTAATTCAAGGAAACGTTTGTTGAACCAAGCGAAGGTGTTAACCCCAGGAACCATGTGTTAAACAAAGCAAAGGTGTTAACCAAAGGAGGGAAGTGTTGATCCAAGTGAAGGTGTTAACCTAAGGAAATAGGTGTTAAAACAGGAGAAGGTGTTAACCCAACGAGACGAGTGTTTAACCAAGCGAAGGTGTTAACCCACGGAAACAGGTATTAAACCAAGCGAATGCGTGAATCCAAGGAAACAAATGTTGAACCATGAGAAAGCTTTAACCCAAGGAGACGTGTGTCTAACCAAGTGAATAGGTTAACCCAAGGAGACGGGTCTCGAACCAAATGGAGGTGTTAACCTAAAGAGAC